TGCTGTTTATAAGACCAATCATACCATTCCACGATCCATTGGTCAATTTATTTCCACCGAGGTTTTCATTTGCTATGTTTATACTAATACTATGTATAGAAATAAATATTGCAAAGCATTAATTACTGTTAAATCTTGCTTAATAATAATTAAATGAGTATTAATTAATAAAAATTACTTGAAATAATGTTTAAGAATTTTATATAAATAAACATCTCGGGCACAGAACATAAAGGAATCAGCCATTCTTTTAATTATCTTTTGGAAATAAATATATTAATTAAATCAAGCTTAACTTAAGAGTATATATATGACATATGACTGTTAATCAGGAAAACTATTCTTAGCAATAGACTTTATTATTATAACTCATGCATAGTATTTGATAGCATTTGATATAAAAATCACAAAAATGAATGTTTTTAATAAATTGAAATACATTTTTCAATGTTAAGTTTAATGTCATAAATGAGGTCAACATTCACTAGTCTATGGCTAAGAATAGTTTTCTTGATTAACATTCATATACGACTTACAGTGCCAGGATATATTCCAACAACTATACTGTTTAAGTTAGTATTTAAACTTAATGATAAATTATTGGCTATATAACCGTAGTCGCACATTTTCATATTATCAAACATTTTATTCAATAAAAAATCTTACATGTATTATTTTTACAAATAGACAAATATTCAGAAATTAAATAATTCTTTAATTAAAAATTATTATTATTTATTAGCATGATGATATAGTTTTATTTGTAATATATTTAACTAATTACTTAAATTTATTTTCAGTTCTAAATATTTGTGATATTTAGATGTTATATGACATTTATACCCAGATTATTTTCTCAAATATTATTTGTTTAACAGTGCAAATAAAATGTAAATACAGTGTAATGTAAATATTGTGTAAAATATAGTGTGAAATAAAAGTGAGATATTTTTAACAATTAAATAGACTACATTTTAATTAAAATATTCCTTAATGCTTTCTATAATAAATCAAAATAATAAATCAAATGTATTTTAAGTTATTTGCACTTAAATGATAAATATTTGTATCATTTAACCTTGATATATTACATGATAATTAATTTGGTCTCACCATCACCATTTACAGTAGATAACAGTGCGGTTCACTGTATTCCCTGAATTCAATAATTGAGTGCACAAGTGATTAACGATTATTAATCATACAAAAAAATCACTATTGCATCCTGATTACCATTATTGTTTGAAATTTATACTGTATTATAATTCTTTTATTTAGATACCAGGAAATGCCGAATTTATAGCCACTTACAAATTAATCCCAAATCACTAACAAGTGTTATTTGTAAATGATTTACACTATTTAGGTTTAGGTTCATTTACGTGCTTTGTGTATCAGGTGATTTAGATACTTTAGATTGGCAATGCAACAAATACACAATACTATACTGTTTATTGGTATTTAATCAATTCATTAACATTAGCAGCTTGTTCATTTGAAAATACTGTCAATTAAATGTATAATATTCACATATACTGTAAATTCATTGTAATTACCACTCAAAAATTAAGCGCTTGATGATCAATATCTGTCTAACTAATCCACTTCGATGTTTCACAAATGTTTCACAACGATGGTGAAAACTGTAAATATAAACAATATATAAACTAATTAAACTAGACACAAATAGTCACTTAATAAAAGTTTATGAAAATACACATACAATGAATGTTTTATTGAGATTTTGTGTAATTATTGTCATTTCATTTTCATCTGATATCCGATGCCATGAAAATAGTGACAATTTTGAGGATATAAGGCATGAATTGAATCAATTTGTATCACAAGAAGATAGAAATCTATTGAATGGTTTGGACATAATTGATGTGATCAAGGTAAGGACAGTTAACTATAACTAACAAACAAGTTATAAATCTAGTTAAATACTTGACAATTAACCATAATTATCATTAAAATAGCAATTAAATAAACTAAGGCTAGATATAGACGACAACAAACACGACAACCAAACGTGTCATAACTGTGTCTCCGCTCTAAACAATGCAAAACTGGTCATAAAAAGTGCGGATTTGATGAAATCCACGGCAAATACTGTATGTAAAACAGTGGTCGACGAGACCGATAGGGTATGTGTGGGCACATTGACATCGATGGCCGAACCCATAGTATATATACTGCAAAACTCGGCAATTACTGTACCGGAAATGTGCGGCGTTTTACTACATCCCGATTGCATGACTCATACGGGCAATGAAATCTCACACGTGGTAAAATCTACTAAACATGATTATTATTCACTTATTTTAATGACATTGATAATTTAATCATGATAAACAATTGCAATTAAGGTCAATTGGGTACTACCACTGCCACATCCAAAACCATTTAACCCATTGCAGTCTGTGATGAGTTTGACCAGTAAAATGTTACACTTGACAGACATTCATCCGGATTTGTACTACACGCCCGGCTCTAACGCCCGGTGCTCTGAACCCATGTGCTGCCGGAGCACATCATACGGACACAACCAATCGGCCGGCTATTGGTCAGACATGTCGGCCCTATGCGACGCACCATGCACGTTTGTGAGCCAAACCATGCGGCACATTGCCACCGCGCACCGAGATCTAGAGTTTGTGATTTGGTCCGGCGATAATGTGCCCCACGATGCTTGGAACACGTCACGCCAGCATAACCTAGATCATATTAAAGCGATGACCACCATGGTCAAAGAGGAGCTGGGCGACAAGCGCATTTTCCCGGGCGTAGGCAATCACGAGCCGCACCCGTTCAACATGTAAGCTAACATTTTTGACCTGTATTTATTTACTAATATTAAATTACTGGTTAACTAATGTATACTCCCGGGCCCTGTGATAGGTATGTGCCCTTAGAGGCAGCGTTGATGTCAGAGGGGAATCACTCGATGGGTTGGCTGTACGACACTCTGGCCGACAATTACTGGAGCCAATGGATAGACACACCGGAGGCCAAGCGATCGTTCAAAAAGGGCGGCTATTATTCCATACAATACACGCCGGGACTCAAAATAATTGTGTTGAATAATAACGTATGCATTAAACGTAACTATTGGTTAGCCTACCAGCCCGTGGATCCGGACGATCAGCTCCAGTGGCTAATCGGACAGTTGGACAGCGCCGAGACTGACGGCTCGTACGCTATGCTAATTAGTATGTGTTTTAAGTTTTTTTTAAATGCAACTTTAAATGTAACATGTTTATAATTATTTTTATCACCACCAATTTAGTGCACTTACCGTTATATTATTGTTACAATTCGTGGGCAAACAATTATATGAAAATTGTAGAAAGGTATCGCAACGTGATCACCAGCACTTACCATGGTCATACGCATTTTGATGAGATACAAGTGTTGTATAATAAAAACATCAGCACTGGTCAACTCTATCCGGTGTCTCACGGATATATTGGCTCCAGTTTGAGCACATTCAATCATGATGCCGCTGTTAATCCTGGCTACAAAATATTTACCCTGAATAGTAATGTATGTGTTGGCAAATAACGTAATTTGTATCAAATAAAATTGCATTAATGTAATACTTTTATAGGGAAAGCCTTTAGATATTGATATTTATTACACAAATATAACGGCCGATAACATTGCGGGCCAACACGTGTCGCCCGTCTGGCGGTCAGACGAGTCGGTGAAACGGATGTATGGCTTGCAGTCATTGACCACCGATTCTTGGCATCAGTTTCTGATGAGAGCCCAAACGGATGACACAATTATTGGCCATTATTTTAATCATTTTCATAGATATAGCGATCCGTTTGTTATGGATTTGAAACGAAAGGGTATTTACAATACGATTGGTCTCAGAAAATACTTAAATAAGAGAAGTTATATCGTTAATCCAGTTTATGATCATGTTAAATGACTTTATTTAATTAAAACATTCATAATGCAAACAATAAATAAAATTCATTTACTGAATACAACTGAATTGACAAATTAATTATAACTAATTTTAAACTTTTAATTGTTGTTCAAAAATGCAATTGTATCCGTGTATTCAAGCGAGGTGGAATTGGCAAATTAATTATAACTAGTTTTAAACTTTTAATTGTTGTTCAAAAAAGCAGTCACGTCTGTATTTGTGAGAGAGGTGGTTTAGCAAATCATTTGTAACTGGTTTTTAACTTTTAATTGTTGTTTAAAAATGCAGTCATGTCAGTATTTTCAAGCGAGGTGGAATTGGCAAATTAATTGTAACTAGACTAGTTTACAGATCTATTGTAACTAGATTTAAACTTTTAATTGTTGTTCAAAAATGCAGTCATGTCAGTATTTTCAAGCGAGGTGGAATTGGCAAATTAATTGTAACTAGATTTAATCTTTTACCTGTTGTTCAAAAATGCAGTCATGTCAGTATTTTCAAGCGAGGTGGAATTGACAAATTAAGTGTAACTAGATTTAAACTTTTAATTGTTGTTCAAAAATGCAGTCACGTCTGTATTTTTGAGAGAGGTGGAATTGGCAAATTAATTGTAACTAGATTTAAACTTTTAATTGTTGTTCAAAAATGCAGTCATGTCTGTATTTGTAAGAGAGGTGGTTTAGCAAATCATTTGTAACTAGTTTTTAACTATTAATTGTTGTTTAAAAATGCAGTCATGTCAGTATTTTTGAGAGAGGTGGAATTGGCAAAGTTATAGTAACTTATTATAAACTTTTAATTGTTGTTCAAAAATGCAATCACGTCTGTATTTTTGAGAAAGGTGGTTTAGCAAATTAATTGTAATTAGTTTTATACTTTTAATTGTTGTTCGAAAATGCAGTCATGTCAGTATTTTTAAGAGAGGTGGAATTGGCAAATTAATTGTAACTAGATTTAAACTTTTAATTGTTGTTTAAAAATGCAGTCATGTCAGTATTTTTGAGAGAGGTGGAATTGGCAAATTAATTGTAACTAGATTTAAACTTTTAATTGTTGTTCAAAAATGCAGTCACGTCTGTATTTGTGAGAGAGGTGGTTTAGCAAATCATTTGTAACTAGTTTTTAACTATTAATTGTTGTTTAAAAATGCAGTCATGTCAGTATTTTTGAGAGAGGTGGAATTAGCAAATTAATTGTAACTAGATTTAAAATTTTAATTGTTGTTCGAAAATGCAGTCACGTCTGTATTTTTGAGAAAGGTGATTTAGCAAATTAATTGTAATTAGTTTTAAACTTTTAATTGTTGTTCAAAAATGCAGTCATGTCAGTATTTTCAAGCGAGGTGGAATTGGCAAATTAATTGTAACTAGATTTAAACTTTTAATTGTTGTTCAAAAATGCAGTCATGTCTGTATTTTTGAGATAGGTGGTTTAGCAAATTAATTGTAATTAGTTTTATACTTTTAATTATTGTTCGAAAATGCAACTGTGTCCGTGTTTTCAAGCGAGGTGGAATTGGCAAATTAATTGTAACTAATTTTATACTTTTAATTGTTGTTCGAAAATGCAGTCACGTCTGTATTTTTGAGAGAGGTGGTTTAGCAAATCATTTGTAACTAATTTTTAACTTTTAATTGTTGTTTAAAAATGCAGTCATGTCAGTATTTTCAAGCGAGGTGGAATTGGCAAATTAATTGTAACTAGATTTAAACTTTTAATTGTTGTTTAAAACTGCATTCGTTTGTATTTTTAAACATGGTGAAATCTGTTTTAAACTTATTGTTATAAACTTATTGTCAATTTAATTAAACATTAATTGAATCAATTATTATCACAACATTTATCACCGATTCGTGGGTTCAGTATCTCATAAGAGCTCAAACGGATGACACAATTATCGTATTTTAATCATTTTCATGGATATAGCGATCCATTTGTTACGGATTTGAAACGAAAGGGTATTTACAATACAATTGGTTAAAGAAAATACTTACTCAAAAAGTTTCTTGTTAATTCATTTTATAATTTTGCTAAATAAATATATTTTACTAGAAGTACGTCATGTGATCAATTGGTTGATATTATTGATGAAACAATATACTAATTGTTCATTAATAGCACAAATGTTTTACTGAACACACAATTAATTGTCGCTTAAATACACAACACATATAACTCGTGCTCTTCATTACAATCAACACAACTTTATTTTGTCTGCCGTTTGCGCCATAAATCCAGCGCCAAATCCAGCGTCAAGTGTGTGACCAACGGCTGGCCGTCGGGTGTTTCGGAGTCCAACACATTGTGGCCGACAATCCATTGGCCGATCTCTTCGGTGAACCGATGGCCGCAATTGTAATACTGAGACAATAGGTATGCGCGGAGACAGCGGTCCGGATCAGTCTCGGCGAGAGTGGACCACAGGTGCTGTCGACACAGACCGGCGACGGGTATAATGTTATACATGTCCGCACACATCAACAGCTCCTCCACGTTGTGGTCAGTGATGTCGAGCACACCGTTGTAGCCATAGTTGACGATCGATACGAGACAGTAGTCCGAAATGTCTGACAGCCGGAGCCGACCGCACCCGCCGGTGTCCTCATCGCCGCCACTACTGGTCAACGAGTTGTAGTGAAAGAGTCGCTGAAAGTATGGACTCAAACACAGCATTACTATGCGATGTATGCGATACTCGTGTCCACTCCGGGCCACTACTATGAGGTCTGGCTGGCAGTTGATTAGTGTCCTGTCCTGAAGTATAAGCGCTGACGAGTCGACCGGTGCTGTCGATGGTGTGATGGCTTTGGTTGTGTTGGTAGTGCTGGACATGTCTTTCATCGTGGATGTGGTGGATATCACTTGTGCCACAACTTTATCATTCAGTCATTGAATGTTTTATATACTTTTGAAATCATATTGTTTTTAAAATTTAATTTTTTTTTAAAGATTATTTAAAAAAAGATAAAATAGAATAAAAATCTGTTTGATTGTGAAAATTTTATTAAAATTAGTATAAATTTTAGACTAGAATATTCTGTACATTTTGCATAAATATTAATTAATAATTTACATGTTTTGATGGCAGATATTAAAATTAATAGTTTTCACACAATACTACGACAGTATACTTGATATCAATTTAAAAGGTAACATAAAAGATATTGATCGATATTTATTATTTTACTTATGACTTTACTTAATCAATAGACTAATAAAATGCAATAAGTTATAAATAAACTAAATATAATGTTAATGTTTTTTAATATTGTTTACAATTTATTGATGAATACATTAAAAGTATACTATATCGTAGTTTTATTTAGTGAAAAGTTGTTTATTAAATAAGTTAATTCTACAAAATGTACAAGTTCATTTTTACTAATCACAACAAAATTGACGACAAACAAAATGTGATAAAATTACACAAATTGTTACCAAATTCAATGATTATACCCAAAGCCGGCACTCATTTCTACATCAATGGTCTCTCGATGTATAAGCCGTTCAACGCTTACAGAAATACATTCAGACATCCATTGCTTATATTCATTGTATATGTTTTGTTGGTTTGCAAACAATTTGCAATGATTTTAATTCCTAAACAAAGTATGAGGTTTTATGGTATTGTCGGAGATTTATCACATTTATTTGGATTAAGAATTCAGTTGAGTTTGAATTTAATTATATGCCTTTTTATCCCATTATTATCACAAATAATACATTATTATAATTATAAGAGAGGTATAAAACCAACGGATATGAGAGTATTTGATATGCTTTCGGGTTTTATAACACCTAAAAGTATTGGCATTCAAAACATACAACACGTCTATAAATTGATAAAATTCGGTAAAATTACGATCAAGATGACAGAACTTCTAACAAGTGTATTAATTTATATCGCATTTATAGTATTTTTATTTACTTTCATTGTAAATGAAAACCCATTGTATATCGCAATACCCCATAGTATTGTTTGGACGTATATTTCTAACATTATATTGAATGCTATAATTTGGCAATTAATATACTATTCAATAATAATCTATTATTTACTGTTAAAAATTGAATCGATGAATATTACTGTTACTAAAAATTATAAATCTAAATATTATGTGAAGATTATAAAAAATTATAATAATCAAATAATAGAAATTAATGAATATAATAAAATATGGTGTAAAATATTGATTATATATTGGGTGTTTATTTCATGGCTATTATCGCTTACAATGTTTGCCATAACCCATAATAATGTAGTGTTTTTAACAAAAATATTTGCATTCATTTTATTCACAGAATTTTTATTTATATTATTATTTATAATACATTTTTCATCAATACTTCACAACCAAACATTTAAATCATATAAATTGTTTAACTTATTATTTATTACAAACAATACCATTGTTTATCACAAGTTTAAGGTATTTTACAATTATTTTAATTATAATAATATTTGTAAATAATTTACAAAAAAGTACATTTATTCATTATTATTAATGAAATAGTTGTTGACAATGATTGAACGTTTGGGTCAGAAAAGGATTGGCTTTTATTGTTGGAAATTATTTAAAATCAATAGATTTCAAGGATTTAAAGTTAGTCTTAATTATAATTAAGTTTAGTTTATTAAATGAATCAAATTATTTTACAGATCATTTGTTTTACAGCAATATTATACATAAAAATACTAAAATGGCACAATAAATACACATAAAAAAGTTAATTAAAAATTTTTATAAGTTATAAAAATATCTAAACTATTATTATAAAGAGAAAAAATATATATAATTTTAGTTAATTTTAATTGGATTATAATATTGAATATATTCTAGAATTTAATAAATTTATTTCCATAAAAAATACATTAAATATTTAACAATCCATATATTATTGTTATTAATTCCTGGTTTGTAATGTATGTAAAACTTAATATAATGGCCAATATTAAGGTTTACCTGATTTTAGATATTAAATAATAGTAAACTATACTTAAATAAATAAAATAATTAGGCTATTATAAATTTAGAGTATGACGTAAAATATGACCATATAATTGGATATAAAAACATTATTTTATTAATACAAACCCATTTGAATTTATGCTATTGTTTTAGAATTAATGCTTTTAATAAATAGACATAAAAAAGTTAATTATAAATTTTGATTAGTTATAAAAATATCTAAAATGTTATGTTAAAAAGAAAAAATCTAATTGTATTTAAATTTAATTGGATAATAATACTGAAAATATTCTATAAATGATTTTAATGGACTTATTTCTTAAACAATACATTAACTATTTAGCAATATATAATTGCCAATATTAAAGTTAATTTGATTTTAGATATTAAATAACATAAAATAATTAAATCATTATAAATTTAGTGTATGACGTAAACATTAACAATATAATTGCCAATTATTAATTAAATATAAAAATATTATTTTTATAAATACAAACCACTTTGAATTTATGCTTTAATAAATAGTTTTAAGATTTTTAGTGATGATAATGTCTCAAATATTATTAAATAGGAATAGAATTATTGATAAACAAAATGTAATAAAAATTAATAAATTATTACCAAAATCAGTAATTATTCCCAAAGCCGGCACTCATTTCTACAGTAATGGTCTCTCGATGTATAAGCCGTTCAACTCTTATAGAAATACAATCAAACATCCATTGCTTATATTCATTGTATATATTTTGTTGGTTTGCAAACAATTAGCTATGATTTTAATTCCCGAACAAAGTATGAGGTTTTATGGTATTGTCGGAGATATATGTCATTTATTTGGATTAAGAATTCAGTTAAGTTTAGATTTTATTTTTGTCCTTTTTATCCCATTATTATCACAAATAATACATTATTATAATTATAAGAGAAGTATAAAACCAACGGATTTAAGAGTATTTAAAATGCTTTCGGGTTTTATAACACCTAAAAGTATTGGCATTCAAGACATACAACACGTCTATAAATTGATTAAATTCAGTAAAATTATGATCAAGATGACAGAAATTGTATCACAAGTATTAATTTACATCTCATTTATTGTATATCTATTTACTTTTATTATTAAACAAAACCCATTGTATATCGCAATACCTCATAGTATTGTTTGGACGTATATTACGAATATTATACTAAATGTTATGATTTGGCAATTAATATATTATTCAATAATAATCTATTATTTACTGTTAAAAATTGAATCAATAAATATTATTATTACTAAAAATTATAAATCTAAATATTATGTAAAAATTATATATAATTATAATAACCTTATCTTAGAAATCAATGAATATAATAAAATATGGTGTAAAATATTGGTCATATATTGGATATTAATTTCATGGATTTTATCGCTTACGATGTTTGCCCTGACACATTATAAATTAGTTTTTGTAGCAAAAATATTGGGTTTTATAATATTTACAGAATTTTTATTTATGTTATTATTTATAATACATTTTTCGGCAATACTTCACAACAAAACATCGAAATCATATAAATTGTTTAATTTATTGTTTATTACAAACAATAACTCTGTTTATCACAAATTTAAGGTATTTTAAATCATTTTAATTATTATATTTTAAAATAATTTACAAAAAGTACATTTATTTATTATTATTAATAAAATAGTTGTTGACAATGATTGAGCGTTTGGGTCAGAAAAGGGTTGGCTTTTATTGTTGGAAATTATTTAAAATCAATAGATTTCAAGGATTTAAAGTTTGCTAAAAATAACATTTAATTATAAATACTAATTACATATTTTTATTCTTACAGATCTTATGCTTTTCAGTTTTGCTGTACATAAAAATAATTAAATGGCATAAAAAATATAGTTTTTAATAATAACGTTCAGAATAGAGGTATTATTATAGCAATAATAAAATAATTTATAAATGTATAATTCATATTTGTAATTTTAAATGTTAACACAAATGATTATTTAGCATTATTGAAATTATTAAAGTTTTGTGTTATTTACATCATTTATTGTATTAAAAAATTTAATCTTAATTAATTAAAATCCAGTTATTTTAAAATCAAACTAGATGGTTAAAGTAAAAGTAACATTTAAATTTGTAATCAATATACTTCACAAATAAAATAAATGTCTTATCCATTTGGTCTCAAACCTTGTGTTAATTTATAAGAATTGATGAATTTATTTGTGAATATAAAGAAACGAATGAATAAAATAAACATCTGTTTAAGTGTAAAAATGTATTTTTATAATTAGTATAGATTTAAGGCCAGAATATTTTGTAATATTTTTTATATAATATTACTTACTGTTAAAGCGGTTCTCTTAGTCATAACAAATTGATTGCCACAACTCAGCCCTATTGGGTGTCCACTGTTTCCCACTCTATGTATACAATTCAATAGCTATAGAAATAAATACAATATTAATTAAAGTTAAAATTATGTATAAATTTAACTACTTTTATACTTTTAATTTGTCTCTAAAGTGAAGGCAAATATTATACTGAATATATAGTTTGTGAAACAATTTATACGTTTTTGATGCCTCGGCATTGACTGATGCAGTAATTAAATTCATATACAATAGTGAGCACAGGTATGATATGTCACACAACGTGATCACAATCAGGGCTGACAGTAACATACGTTCGTAGACAACCAAATGTGATGCCATTAAAGCCAACGGTATTATTGTATAACAAACGGCAAAATAATACACTTTCCAGAAGTGGTTATACTTTTGCACATCAATACAGATGTGGTTGTGATCTGACATCAATTGCCGGAAATACTGTTGATGTATGAAATGGTCCTTAGATTTGCATTTCAACCGTACGTTAAACTCAACAAATCTCAGCCGACAGTAATAGCAAACAATATAATAGTATAGAAATACATACAAAATAATGGGAAATATTGTGAAAACTAGATTCATATATAAAATGATGGCCAAAATACCATAGACTAAAATGTCATGTATTGTCATTACCATGATTGCAGTAGTTATAGCAAATACAACACCCGTTAGTTTGATGTATATTAACAGATAGTCGACGAGTTGTTTAACCGATCGGATCCGGAAAATGAATGTCCGCACCAGTAGTCTATCCGTCAAACCGATGTCACAAAATAGCCGCAAACCACTCAACGCTCTTATGATTTGATACCATTCATAATGGGATCCGTTGTTTATAATGTAGACAATTACCAGACATAGGCAAACCATTACATTAGCGCCCAGGTAGGGGATCTCAACGATACCGCCATAGTATTGAATAATTTCAAAATAATATAGAGGCAAATATTGGCTGTTATTACCATGGTATGCAATTAAATACGTGGTATATCTGGTGATTATGGCACTAAGATTTAGGATCAAAAACATTGTCTTTAGTGTTTGAATCAATTGTTTCCGTTTTGATATGTTTTGGTCACTGATGTCTAGTCTATAAGATATCCACTTTCTATATAAAAGTTGATCCAATCCTTTGATTAGCATTTTTAATACAATTTGTTTTTGTTTTAAAGTTAGTTAATTCAGCAAACTTTTAAAATGTAATTATTATTAATATTATTTTGTATAAAATGTAACTATTTTATAGCATAGCAACCAATTTGTTGTGAAAATCGTTTGTCTATTTCTATTTCTGACAATAAATTGCTATTAAATACAATAGTTTTGACGTTAAAACAAATGGCAATAAAGCATGAGATGAACCAAATTTATTACAAAAACTAAAAATACATTTGATATTAAATAAAATTACTATACAATACAAATATACTGTAAATTATTAATATAACTTTATATAATAAATGTATCATAATTATAATAATAACTAGCGTTGCCAGATATACAGGAATGGCCTGTATTATACAGGAATTAAGGAATATTGCAGAGTACAGGAAGGTGTCATTCCTGTACATTGAAAAATACAGGAATAAATATTTTAACAATAAACAATGAAAATACTAAAATATTCAAATTTGTTAATAAATTTAGTCCTGTACACCCACTGTTCATTCACAATTTGAACTAATGCTAAACATTAAATGTATTTAAACTTGATTAATTCAATTCCAAAGACATTGTATTAACACTCGAATTTTCGCAAATATATTATTCATTGGAAATTGTATAAGTTTGAAGTTTTGATTTATAAACAATGAAATACAGGAAAATACAGGAATTTTTGATAAAATTTTCACAATTATACAGGAAATCCAAAATATTTTCTGGCAACGCTAATAATAACACTAACAAGAATTGTAAGAATTTTAAGTTATACGTTGTTATTATTTTAAGTTTAAATTTTAAGTTGTAATTATTTTACCAAGTTTCTAATTGTTTGTAAACCAATACAACACAATAAACTAAATATGTGTTTAAAAAATAATTGCAGAATTCTTGTACTTGTAATAAAATACTCAATAATTATTATAATTAATGATACTATAAATCCGATAAACAATGCATTAAATGCCGATTTAAAGTTAGTTAAAGTTAATGTTGTATACATTTTATTATCGTTTTGATGCAAATATTCATCAATGATTTGGCTGTCATTTAAACCAAATTTTAAATTATTTAAATGAACATTGAATACAAAACTTTTATCTTCATAATAATTTGCTAATCCATAGGAATATAAGTCTTTAATTCTATAATTAAATAAAACATTAAATATTTAAACAATTACTATTAAATGTATTAACTAAAAGCACTTACAATCTGATCATTTTGTTTCTTTTCAATGGATTTAAATGTTTTCGCAAAACAAAACTATTTTGGTATTCATTATTATTAATGAGAGATGACTTAACCAATGGATACACTTTATAAAAGTTATAGATCCTATCGATGCCCTGATAAGTATTTATCAGCACATGTTTGCCGTCTAATAGCTGTTTAATTATATTTAAATCATAGACTCGTGTATTAGTTATAGGTTTTAATCGACTTTTGGGAAATTTATACACCTTTTTAAGAAACAAATAAAATTAAAATTTAATATTAATTTGTATTATAATTTTAATTACATTTTGTAATATGCTATGAATGTAAGAGTCCTTAACAAACATTATTTGAATGGACTTTTCGTCGTATAATTCACTAATTGTCTCAATTTTATGCAACTTTTTTGATACCATTGTTGAGTACATAAAGTTTTGAATGAATGACATTAGTATTAATGATAACATAATCCACGAAATCATTAAATAATTTCCGTTATATTTCTTGAAATTAATTCCTAAAATCAAATCACATTAAAATATTTAATTAAATTATCAAATATTCTCAAACCTCTGCCCAAAAACATGACAAAACAGTCAATTAACACAAACAACTGTTGTTTCCATTGAGATATTGCATTGCAATTAATGGCGAGCATTAATATTACAAGAAATGCAATTAATATCCATACATAATAATCAAAATAACAAATAATTAATAATATATTTTGGTTGCTTTCATAGGCGGGACAACTGAGCAAAACCAAAGTCGATCCCCTGTTCATCAATAATACATAATCCAATACTTTGGCCCTAATCTTGTCGTATATGAATGTAGCCATAAGAAAATCGGCCCTCTTTTGAGTTAATTAATAAAAATAAAAATCAATCAAAAATTTAAAATTAATTAATTTAATTAATGTATTATTTTAATAATACAATAAACTTCATTTGTATTACAAATGATGTAATGATATTTTGTTATTAATTAAAATTTTGTATAATACCTGTTTGTATAGTAGACCGACGGCACCGCTTGACGACCCGTTTGGCCAAACCATACCACCGCTGTTATCATCAGCTATACTAATGGTGACCCTAAATACAAATTAAATAATTAGTTATGCCAAAAGTATGCAATAAATTATTGCAAATAATTTCAATAATGTTTACTTAAATTTAAGATTTTGTTCAAGAATTTTATAAACATAAATATATGAGTGACAGAAAAGTACAGAATTGGCAAATTGTTGGACAACCTGTAGTTGAACACAATTAATATATTGAAAATATATTAAATTAGTTTATAATTTTAAACATTAAGTTAACTTTACTTCATTGGGATAAATGCCAACAACTAGACTATTTGTATCGTTATTAAGATTGTCATTAAATATACTGCCATTTGTGCAAAAATTTGTATTTTTCAATAACATGTTCACTTATTTACTATTTATGAAGATAATAAATAAAATAAAAATACACAAATAAAAAATAAAATATTTTCTCTTTAATAACACAAAAACACATAAATTTGTGATTTATTTATGACTTCAATGATTTAATAATTTATAACGTTGCAACTTGCAACGATTTATGCGTAAAAAGTTACTTTTTTGTGTATAAATATAACAATTTATTACTTTTAGATAAAAACTAAATGCAACAACTTTATTTAACAAACGAGAAAAATATGTTTATGCTCTGTTATTAAATAGATAAAGCATAAAATAATAACTAGCTTGTTAATTTATTTGTTGTTACTGTAATATTCAGTCTTTTGTACTATTGTAAAGATATAAAATAATCAAGTTTTTTTGTTATACACGTGTATTGATTATTCTTTTGATAAGACAAAGTCAATAATTTCCACCTTCACTAATCATAAATAATTTTTAAATTATATAAAAATAATAATATACTAGAATATTCCAAATAACAATTATAGAAGTAATACTTGCTAAACATGTTATTACAAAAATATACATTATTACAATAAATTGTACATTATTGTGTACATTTAGTGTACATTATTACAACTTACCAAAATGAATTTTATGGCACCAAAAAAGATACCCCTCATGTTACCACATTACATATTTAAAATGTTAGTCAATAAAAAAACATGCGACCCCCTTGCCCTGACTTCTCCGCATCCATAAAATTCACCTGGTACTTAATTCACACTATAATAACTTTCAACATGCAATAAAACTATTTTGTCAACAAGTTATCAAGATCCGTTGATAACACAAAAGTTTTACCGTAACAATAGGGTGTTGCATAGCCAATAAATAATAACTATAAATACACTATTGTATTGATAAAAACACTATAAATACAACAAATAAATACACTGTACACTCAATAATACCATGATAGAATTGGTAAAAAGTATGATTATTTAGCATAATTTTATTGGTTAAAATTGTATTAAACTAAATTATAAAAAATACAATTTGCAAAATTGTTTTATCTACAGTGAATTAACAGCTCGACTCCAAAGCATACACCGCTAACAATGAGTCCAATTGTTATCGTTATAAACAAAAAAATAAAGTTTGCAAATTTTAATACTCGGTAGCCATTGTCGTCGTCAATAGGTTTATCACGTTTGTAATGATTTGTTTTGGCCAAATTATTGGTACCATTATTTCTAGTTAAGAATGTATTCATTTTAATGTGAAATAACACCTCTTGTTTTGAATAATACTTATACAAGCCAAATTGGTGAATTGATTTTACCCTGATGAAAAACAACAACATAATTATTGTGTAATTGATAAATTAAATTATTGTGTAATTTATAAATTAAATAGATAAATTCTATGGTATCGTTTTTAACATTAATCATTTTGTTTATAAATTACATACATTTTCATTAATCTGGTCCTAAGGTCTGGATTAATGCCTTTTCGTAATATAAAGCTATAATAATACGGACTCTCATTGCCGGCCGTTTCGGTCAAACCGTATTCATTGTAATGGTTGAGTAGATTATCGATCTCTGTCTTAGCGCTCACTAATACGTACCGGCGCTGCACTAGACTATCAATTGTGTCCATAATGTATGCGTCCGTGAATTTTATTAACTGCAGCCTATGGGCGGGGAATCTATAATCCTGATATATTTGGGAATTCATGGGTTTACATAGGTGCAAAATAAAATAAATTATCATTTTATTAACGTTACGTTTATTAGCAATTGATGAGCGTTTGAATTGTTGATAACCAGAATTTTCATATCCTTTTTATGTATTAATAACTCTCGTATTGACATTATTTTGTCCACTCTTTGCGATACCATAAACGATAAGACATTGTTTTGTATGTATAATACAATTACCATCGATGAGATAATCCACACCATTAATAAGTAGTTTTTATTATAATTTTTAGTTTTAATTGCTATATAATTATAAAATAAAAACAATAATTTACCTTAATTCTGAATAGTACAAAATCAATCATGATTTAAATAAAGACTTTACAAACCTCTGCCCAGAAATAGTATAATATAATCAATGCATAGGAATATTCTGTGTTTCCAATCGCTAATTGAATGGCAATTAACGCATATTATTGTTAAATACGATAAAAGCATTGAAATCCAAATCCAGTTATCAAAGTATGTGATTAATGATAAAATGTTTGTATTAACCAAAACCCGGGGACAACTCAGTATGGCTACAGATGTTTGACACGACTCCATATACACCCAGTCAATCAACGGCGCCCTTTCGGTGTTGTATACAAATGCAGTTAAATACAAATCTGCCATCTAGTTACAAAATAATAATTAATTTGATTATGATAACAATCAAATTCATTAAATATGATAAATTAACCTTATTAACTAATAGGCCAATGGCGCCTGACCATGATCCGTTTCCCATGTTGGCGCCACCTCGGTTACTATCGGCTATACTGATCCTAATTCTTTTATTAGGCATAGAATAATTTTATTAATCGTATATTTAATTAATTTATTAATTACCTTAATTTTAAAGTATTTTTAAGAATTTCATAAATGTATATAAATTTATGACAAAATACGACAGAATTTAATTCTTGTTTGAATACCTGGATAATGTTTAAATGTGTAATGTTTAATAATAATAAATTAATTTTATTGCTATATAATTGTACCTCATTTGGATAAATACCAATTACAATATCATTTGAGCCAATATTTACACTATTGTTAAAATATAATGGACTTGTAGTACAAAAATTCATTGCTAAACTTTTGTACGTTTAGTTTACATTAAATATTTGTTTCTTAACACTGAATAAGAATAAATTATTATTTTTGTTAACTGTAATTATTTTTTATTATTAAAAAATCAATTGCAGAATAAATTACAAAAATATTTACCAAATGTAATTATATACTTATTATTTATAAATAGTAAAAGAAATTATTTTATAAAGATCATAAAGATAAATAAGATTGTTCCATCGCTACACTAAATGTAATTAAATTTAATAGATGTTATTATTTCTATAAATATATTATGTGCTAATATTTTGTTACAAAATATTGTATTATAAAAATTAAATATTGTTTGATTGATTGCCTTTTATTACAATACAAAATATTAATACCAAACTACAATATTGTAACTTTGTCGTGACTTTACAACATACACATGTATGTAAAGCACATAAGAATTAATTTAATCAAAATCTTGTTACTACACTATGTCAATCAATTATTTACTTACAATTTATTTTATATGAGAAAAATTACGTTTAAAAAATCAATATTATATAAATGCAAACAAATAATGATAGCATTTATACATTAATTTGAAATATCAAACAATTGATGTTATTATAAATTATAATTTATAATGGTAAACATATTTATGATTCTTAAAATATTTTGATTTAAAAAATAACATAATTATAAATAATAACAAAATGCTAGCTTATAAAAAGAACATTTATGATTTTTATTAATGTAAATTGTATTAATATAAACTATTGAAAAATACATTTTTTGATAATGCTTGCTCAACATAGTTTATTAATAGTTCCACTCCAATGCATACAACGCTAACAATTAGTCCGACAGATATTGTAATGAATGAAAAAATAAAGTTTGCAAATTTTAAAGTTTGCACTCGATGATTATCATCGTTGAAATTAGTATCATGTTTATGATCGCATGCTTTATACATATGGCCCCTTTCATTATTATTATTTAATGTGGCCATTATTTTATGATGATATCTCACTTCTTGTTTTGTGTAAAATGTATAGAGACCCAAATTGTGTATTGATTTTATCCTGATAGAAACCAATATCATTAATGTAAAATTTATATTTTTAATTTTAAAAATAAACATTTTGTTTATAGATTACATACATTTTTACTAATCTGGTCCTAAGGTCTGGATTAATGCCTTTTTGTAATATAAAGCTATAATAATACGGACTCTCATTGCCGGCCGTTTCGGTCAAATCATATTCATTGTAATGATTGAGCAGATTATCGATCTCTTGTTTGGCGCTCACCAATACGTACCGGCGCTGCACTAGACTATCAATTGTGTCCATTTTGTAAGTATCCGTGAATTTTATTAACTTTAGCCTATGGGCGGGGAACCTAAAATTCTAAAGCACATGATGATTAATAGATATACAATATATTTTATCTGATATAATACGAAATACCTTGATAAGCAGTTTATGAGCATGTGAATTTTTGACGACTAGTATTTTCATGTGCTTTATGTGTAATAACTCTTGTATTGACATTATTTTGTCCACTCTTTGCGATACCATAAACGATAGGACATTATTTTGCAGGTATAATACCATTACCATCGATGAGATAATCCATACCATTAATAAATAATTTTTATTTTTATTTGCGGTTTTAATCGCTATTGTAATTGTAAATACAAAAACACCATTAAGTTTTAATTGTTATTTAATATTACAAATTAAATCATAATTTAATTAATACAAACTTTTGCCCAAAAATATAATAATATAATCAATGCATAGGAATATTCTGTGTTTCCAATCACTAATTGAATGGCAATTAATGCATATTATTGTTAAATACGATAAAAGCATTGAAATCCAAATCCAGTTATCAAAGTATGTAATTAATGATAGAAAGTTTGTATTGAATAAAACTCGAGGGAAACTCAGTATGGCTACAGACGTCTCACATGATTGCATATAAACCCAGTCAACCAATGGCGCCCTTTTGGGAGTATATATGAATGTTGTTAAGTAGAAATCGGCTAGCTGGTTTAAAATAATAGTTACTTTTTATTCAAATTATTTGTCTAAATTAACCTTATTAACTAAGAGACCAATTCCGCCAGACCATGATCCATTGCCCATATCAGAACCACCTCCGTTACTGTCCGCTATACTGACCATGGTACTTTAATTATTAAGTAATTGCAAAATTATAACATGGTATTATTGTAAAGTTTAGTTTAATTATATTAGTAAATTTAGAAAATAAACTTACTTTAATTTAAGGGCACTTTTAAGTATTTGATAAATATATATAAATTTATGACAAAATACAACAGAATTTGCATTCTTCTCAAATACCTAGATAATAAGTAAATTGTTATTTTCGAAATGTTTTAATTAATTTAATTGCAATGCACATTACCTCGTTTGGAAATATACCAATTGAGATATCATTTGACCCATTATTTACACTATAGTTAAAATTTAACGGGCTTTTAATGCAAAATTTATTCATAATGCGTTATGTATCAGTTATCTGGCACATTTATTTTAAATACTCTATTTTTATTAAAGCAAAATGTTATTACTTTTAATTGCAAAAATCAAGTGTGAAAGAAAAAATAAAGTGCTAAAAATAACTTAATAATTTAATGTAAATTAATTGGAAGTATTGTAATAACTTGTACATAATGTACCAAGATTTTTATTATTAAATTTACTTGTATTTTTATGCATTTCAACACAATTGAATGTAATTATTTTTACATGTGTTAATATTTTGTATTATAAGCAAAATACTGTAGTATATAATTTGATTGATTGCATTTTATTATAATATAAAATACCAAAACAGCATGTACATTAAAGATAATATAAAATGTATACATTAAACTAATATAAAACACGTACCACAAATTATTGACTTATAATTTAGTTTATATAATTACTTTTTGAAAATCAATATTTATATCAATACAATCCAATGGAAAAATTAATATAAATTTTTATATAAAAAATATTGTACGTTAATTATTAGTATTATTATAATTACATTTTGATTATAAATAATAAATATAATTATAACTCACGATAAAACCTAATTATAATTAAATTAATTGAGGAGCGCTTGCATACAAAAAGCAATATTAATTAGTATTAACACAAAAACCAACCTTGATTATAGTATAATTACTGGTAATAATTTACAGTATATCAAAATAATAAGTTAATTAACTTTATTGTTATGCAATATTGTACTTGAAATTGTGTTCTCCAAAACAATAATTATATGATCCAGTTCAATATACATTGTGAACTGTATGATAAAATTATATACAAAAATTAAGTATGATCAACCAATCAATTATATAATAATTATAGAACAATTATGGCATTTTAAGTACTTATGGTAATAAAAAATTCATTATTGTAAAACATGTGAACAACATTTAAATGTGAACTTAAAATTTACTTATTTTTTATCGGTATTAAAATCTCGAATTTTTGATCTATTATGATATTACAAAATTTAAATTTGTTTTATTTGCAAAAGTAAAATATTTGCAAAATGTGTTCTCAAATATATTATCGATTTATAATAAAATAATAAAAATAACAACAAAAATACATTTATTTATTATAATGTCTCTCATATATGATGTAAAAATGGTTTTGCCGCCGGAGAGTGCGATACCAATGGCTGGCAGTCAAATGTATTCAATCGGTTTATCACTGTTTCCCTACCCGTCGGCCGGAAAGCGGAGTCCACTAAACAACCCGTACTTTATATATGCATTTGATTTGGTATTTCTTGTCAAATGTCTACTCTCTGTAGTGATGGACGTCCGACACGAGTACCAATTCTTTGCTATCGGGGACTACGCCTACTATTGGCCGGGCATTCGTGTGCACATCAATATGGCGTACATGTGCTCAACAGTGATCATGATATTTCAACAAACGGTTCAATTCTGGTACTTCTATCGGGGTATTGAACCCACATATTTGCGCCCATTTCTCATGATGTCCGGTGCGGTGCCGCCCAAAGTGCTCGGCTTTACCACTGGTAAGGATGGCCAACGACTGATTGTAAGGACACGGCTTATGCTCCGGATATCGCGACTTATGGTGGGCTCCCTATCGATGTCGACAACTGTCACATCACTGACACTATTGTTCATCGATAAGACACCGACGGAGAAGCTGTTTGTGTCCATACCCTGGATAGTAGTCTACGGATATTTCGGGTATATTTGCGGCCAATTCCTGATCTACCCGTTGGTATACTTTCTGTTGATATGTTATTATTTGCGGCTAAAATTAGCGGATATAAACATTAGGGTAAATGTGGTGACCGGTGCCATACAATTACCATTAATACTGAGATCGTTGAATGCAATGCACGCAGAGATCAGCGATTTTAATAGAAACTATTGGTGCGAATACTTGTGTGGCTTTACATTTGCAATGATTGCTGTCATTAATTCATGCATTTATTCAATGATTTTCACCGACATTATGATTATGTTTAAATTAATTATCGCTTATGCTGGAACATTATATCTGGTCATCCTACTTGTTTTATTAAATAGCGCCTCGTCAGTTAATTCCGAGGCCAATAAGTCGTATAAACTATTAAATACATTATATAATCATTTAACGCAAATATATAGCAATCATAAAAGTCTATCTGAAACGCTACAAATCAAAGTAATTATGCTAATTATTTGTTTTCATATTTAGTTAATGTATTGTTTGTAAAATATTTAGTTATCAACAATGATGATGAAAACGGCTGATAAATCAATTGGATTTTATTGTTGGAATTTATTTATTTTTAATAATTTTATTGTTCATGAGGTAATGTACTGTACATTATATTATGTAGCAATATTTTTAATTGTGGTCAATTTATTGATTGTTAAAATATTATATTTGTATAACAGATTGTAATAATGATTGGGATTTATTTTATAAAACTTATTGACGTATCGCTGTATCGAGACATTGGTTAATGTTAGAAATTGTATTAATATTTAATTAATTAATTGTATTTTTGATAATTCATATAACTGAATAAATAAATAAATATTTGATAAATTTATTTAATAATATACCAGGTTAGATATATTTAGAATATATACCAATGACATAAATTGGTAAGCATACATTAGTTTTTATGATGTATTTTATATAAACACTTGTGTTGATATTTACCAATAACCTAAAACTGGTAACCATTCATTTAATTATATATAATTTGGTGTAATCATAGTGTTTATTAAAATGGATTTTTATTTAAATCCCAAAGTAATGTTTGACTGAATAAAGACTAATTTATTATTATTATTTCAGTTATAAATATTTTCAATTAATATTTAAATTAAATTATTTATAGATATTACAAACAAATTCAGACAACATATAAAAACAAACAATTGAATACACTTTGTACTTTCTTGTACTATTGTACTTGTAACTGACATTGACGTGTATTCATCATGAATTGTATTCATAAATTAGTATTAAGAATTTAAATTTAATATTCTGCCTGATCAAACAAAATGAATTCTTGTTATTTCTATAATATTAATACACATTTAATCAAAATTAATACAAATACCAATGAATCTCAACTAATAGTCGGCGTCAAAAAATCAATGGTAAGATTAACATTAAATATTTTTTATTCAACATCAATAATTTGTTTATAAATATTTATTGTTTTTAAAAGGTTTTATTTGTAAATGAGACCTCATTTAAATTATGTTATATGTATGCATACATTTTGCCTATGATAGAAAAGTATTTAAATATAAGGTAAGTACAAACAAAGTTTACAGAGCTAAATTATACGTTAACCACAAATTGGATGATGATCAACGAATAGATTAGCATTAGCACCATGGAATTAACATTAGCCCATGTTACAGTACTATTAAAAGTACTATAGACTTAAGCTAGAATCCCGTGTTAAATTACATATGGTGAGGGGCCGAGGAAATGGCCAAATAATCCTATAAACCACATTCTGTATATCTGAATTGTGGTTAAAAAATTGGTTAAAATTTCCTATAATGTATAACATTTCAAATACAAATTAAAGTTATAGATTTCGTTTAATTACTGCCGATAAAAATAACTCTATTGACTATTGGACTAAAGATTTAAAAAACAATGTAAATATTATTTTTTATTATAATTTTAAATAAATTATTTTAATAAAACATAATAATCTTTTTTAAATTTACAGTCAATTCATATTATATTTGCGGAATATGTTATTAATTTTAATAGATTTCAGTTGGTAGATTTTTTGCAAACAGATTTAGTAAAATTTTCATCAATATTATATTCCCGGGAAACTTACGCCTCGACCGACACTTTACGGATATTTTGTATTTTCCCGAAACATATTTGGGTTCTTATATTCATCTCCTATTTATCACTATTTCTATTCAATTCATTCAAAACAACTAAATTTCAAATTAAATTCAAACTTTTAATCGACTATTTTGGGGTGTTTTTACTTAAGGGTTTGTCAAGTAATTTTGTATTACTCTAATGTATATTGTATTTGTGCGACATTTATATATGTAATTAATAATAGGTGTGATTATAAAAAGATATCATTCAAAATACTTGTTAAGCATTTGGCTATTGGTATCACTTGTGGTCATAAATGTATTCCTCAATGATATCAGAGCTATGATTGTATTGACAAAAGAAGACACCATTCATAACATCAATGATCTCCTGGACAGAGATGTCAACATTTTTATGGGTAGTAGACGTTATGAATACACGTTAATGAAAAGGTAAGTTAAAAATCTGCCTTATTTTATGCAATTTAAAACAAACTTTAATTTTATAGGAATCGTTGAAATTGACACAAAAATTCAAAATTCAATTCAAATCAAACATTAATTTACAAAGTGTTGACACAATATTGCAATTGAAATACAATAACAGTGTTATTATTGCAAGCAATACACATACATTGAATATGATTTCAGTTTACAAAGAGTATCAGTTGAGGCGTACGGATGGCAACGGATCCATACATATCGTGGGAATACCAATAAATAAAAATCTCGATCAAACACTGAAAAGAAAATTAATTAAAATGTATGCCATATAAACATTATTATATTTTATTATGGTTGAATTTTAAACTTTAATTTAAATTAATTAAATACAATTTAGTATAAAAGTACTACTGTCTACTGATTAACATGGAATTTTTGCATTTAGGATAAGAATCTTGGTTCACTCAAACATCTATCATCATAAGTTTTATGTTCACCTAATTAAAAGTAAAGGTGTCAAACATATTTCGGACATAAATAATAATGATCATAGTCTAAAAAGAATTAACATTACTAATATTGTATTTTTAATTTATATTTTATTCACTGTGGTTAGTCTATCAATTGTTATAGTATTTCTTGAAATAGTCATTTATTTTTATGTACATAAAAATGTATAAATGTAAAAATAGTTATCGACTATAACTTATAGTTAAGCTCAGCAAAAAAATGCTTTTTAAGGCTTTATTCACAGAAAAAATAAATTATTTTATTAGAAATATTAAAGTAGTGTTTAATAAAGCATTGAGTCATTCAATGAATCAAACATTACTCGTATCTAAAGTTATGTTTTTCTGTGAATAAAGCCTTAAAAAGCATT